GGGGGTGTAGAAAGGGGGAATTGATCACAGGGATCTACATATAACCTCTCTGGGGGACAGGCACAGAGGGGTGGGTGAAGGGAGACGCCAGGCAGTGTAATATAAGATATAATAATAATTTATAAATTATCAAGGGTTCATATGGGAGGGGCAGGGGATAGGGAGGGGGAGGGGGAACAAAGAAAATGAGCTGATTCCAGGAACCCAAGAGAAAAGTGAATTTTGGGAATAATGAGGGCAACAAATGTATAGGTGTGCTTTACACAATTGGTCTATGTATTTTGATGAATTGTATGAGCCCCAATAAATTGATTAAAGATTTTTTATTAGGTCCTAGTTGTCTAATTTGTCTTCTGGCATCTATGCATTTATAATTATGCTTATTAGCCTTTTAAAAAACTTAAAAATTGGCTCCAAAAGTTTCTCTTTATTTTTTCTCCCAGGAACATGATACTTTTTGTTGTTTTTGTTTTTATGGTTCTGCAAACTGTTTTCATTGTAGACTGCATCATACGTGTTTTTCTTTTAATTTCATGCAATGGGTGGAAATCCGCTCCTGAAACTCAGAGCGCTGGAGTTGGGTCAAAGGCTATTGGTACCTAGAGGGATGCCTAAAGCCAAGTGTCAGCATAAGGTTAAAGCACAGAGTCTGGCAAATGTCTGCCAGGGAAATGCAAGGATGAAGAGAGCAGGGGTGATCGTGTTCTAATCAGTCACAACATTAAGTGAAGCTCAAGGGCCCTACACATAAGGAATGTCTTCAAAGCCTCTCTGTTGGGCCCTACAGTCGCCCCTAAGTTCCCTTCGACCTCTAGTGTGGAAGGGATTCTGCAAGCTTCTTTGCATCCACATAAAGCACCCCAATTTCTGTTTGGATTTTTTCACCTCATCCTTTACACTTGCCACCTCATTGAACTCTCCTCATCGCTCAAATGCATTCATGAATGGCTTCCTTAGACTCCTTGAGGTACTCAGCCTGCCCTTTACTGGTTTTTCTTTTTGCTTTTCTGGGGACATCATCCTGAGCTGGGCGCTTGGCTGCAGCCCTGGTTTCACCTGCTGGCTTTTCTATGGGCTTCCCCTCACCCTCAGCTTTTCCCTTAGCCTGTGGCATTTCCTCATCTGCCTTTCCCTCATTTCCTAACTTTTCCTTGCCTTCCATTCCTAATTTCCCTTTGTTTTCTGTTCCTATTTTTCCCTTGCCTTGCATTTCTAACTTTCTCTTGTCTTCTGTTCCAAAATTTTCCTTGCCTTCTATTCCTACCTTCTCCTTGTCTTATATTCCTAACTTTCCTTTGTCTTCTGTTCCTAACGTTTCTTTGTCTTCTGTTCCTAATTTTTCTTTGTTTTCCGGAGAGCCAGTAGCTTCTGGCTTTTCCTTCGTAGTTGACAGTTCTTCATTTTCCACCTTTTCTTGGTTTTCAAGCTTTCCTCCGTTTTCAATGTTGGGTTTTCCATGTTGGGATTCTCCTTTTCCTGTCCTGCAGGGCTTCTGGACAGGCTTCTCCTCTGTCTCTAGCCTCGGAGCCCTTGGGGTAACAGACACACAGACCTCTGTGCTCCCGTCCCCCATCGCAGCGTTCCACAAACAAAAACCCTACATGGTACTTTTAAGGGTATTTTAGGTGATCCTTTTTGAGCTACTCTTTGTGCATTGTGGGGACATGGGCTCTGTATCATTTTTCTGCCGTTAATATTCAGCTTTGCCACCATCATTTATTAAAGAAACTGGTCTTCCCCATTAAATAAATTTTGAACCCTTGTAAAAAAAATATAAGCTCCCACAATCCTGGGTTCTCAATCCAATTCCACTGTTCTCTGTATGTATGTCAGGTTGCTTTGCAGTGGCCCTCTTATTTTATTTTTCTTCCTTGCACTACCTTATATGTCTATGCTATATTGATTTATCTACTGAGACTTCAAGGTATAGTCATGAAAGTGGGGACTTTATTCCTATTGTGAATTGTATTCTTAATGGATACAATTGGGACTTGGGGCAATGTTTGTCATGTTTGTCATTGATTAGGGGACTCCTTAATAAATAGTGGCCATATGTATTAAAAGATAAATCAATCAGACATTTCATTATGGTCCTCTATTCTCTGAGCTGTCAATGTATTCTATGTCTGTATTTTTGTGATAACAATTTGAACATAGAGTTCACAGTTTACAGGTTTATGTGATGCCAGGAAATGCAGGGTCTGGCACTTGATGATCAATATATGTATGCATATTTGGTGACACGATGATGTTGTTGGTTATCAGTTTTAAATCCATCATTCTGCTTCCCCCTAAACATTAGGTTGACGTCCTAATCTTTATACCTGTAAATATGACCCTGTTTGGAAATCAGAGATTTTCTGTTACTGTGTTAATAAGGACGTAGTAGAGTCAGAGTAGGATTGGCCTGAATGGAAATTCAATCCTTCTAAGTGGTGTCTTGAAAAAAGAGAAGGGTGGAAGATGCCATAATGCATTCACAAGCAACAAAGGCCTACTCAGTGTTGTGGAAAGCTCTCTGGAGATTGCAATAGCCACGACCCTGATTTGGATTTTTAACCTCCATACCTGTGAAAAAGCAAATGCTTGTCCTTAATGCCAACTACTATGTGATATATTATTATGGCAACTATAGGAAACTAAGATAGCCATATATTTTATTGACTCAAAATTTACGGGGATCCCACCTTCCAAATATTGCAAACTGGGTGACCAATCTCTACCATTCATTGTCTATTTCTTAACCATTCTCAAAAGAAAGATAAAATAGCCTGAGAAGAGGCCAGAGTCAACTCACCATCTTTGTACCTGTCTAAGAATTTCTCTGATGGAACCTGGGAGATCAGGTTACTTTTCCCTCATGGCTTTGGCCAAATCTTATTGATGGGAGACTTTGGGGGAGGTGAATAGAATAGAAAAGAATAGGAATACAGCACAAGTGGAACTGAAGATTTCCTTCCATTTTATGAAAAAAAATTCAGACTTTAATAATGGGACACACTAAAATGTTATTGAAGCCCTCGAGAAAATGCTCCAAATGGGGGGTGGGGGTGGGGAACCAAAAACCTTTGAAGTAGCTAATTCGAATAGAATTTTCCTCTGCTCAAAGTAGGAATATAATATAGCTTTGCTATCACTACCCTAAAAGGTAGCAATATTCCTATTGTAAAAACTACATGTCTTCATTGATTATGAGAAGAGTGATTTTGCTTATTCTTTTTCTCTGGCCAGAAACATGGATCTTCTAGACGTGATGGTGTTTTGCTGAGGGAGTTAGATGACAAATTACCAGTTAGTCTTTCCAGAAGGCCACTTTATCAATTCGAGAAAACTTCTAGAGCAGCACCAGCCTAGTACTTAGCAAAAGTTAAAATGCAAACATTCACAACTCATCTGGGATAACAGGAGTAAAATAGGAGAGATGAGACATAAATATTTGATTCTATGCCCATAGGATGACTGTCCTTACAAGCACCAAACATCTTCGAACTTGATTTTCTGCCACTTCAAGGAAAAAGTTCAAAGAACTCACTGTTAAGGCATAACAACGGTGTTGGAATCAGAAAGGCTATCGTTGGACTCATCTTCCATTCAACTGTTAAATCTTCTTGGATAAGTTACTTTACATCCATGTAGTGTTAAATCCTCATCAGTTTATTAACTATAGTGTAAATAAACTTGTTGTTCATGGTTCGTACCTAACAGGTTAGTCTTATGTACTAGCAACCCCCAAATCAATAAACCCAAACCAAGCCCATTTCCTGCAAGTAGATTTTGACTCATAGCAACCCTACAGGACAATAGAACTGCTTCTTTTCATTTCTAATAACTATCTTCTTTCTCCTGCAGAGCAACTTGGAGTTTCAACCATGAACCATGTCATTGGCACCCAGTGCATAATCCACAGCACTACCAGGGCTCATTCTAAAACTCAATTATTTACAATCATTCAATATTCTCATTCAGGAGTTTGCAAATTGAGTGTGTGCGACTACTATGGGCTTGATGGAGTGGCTTTGCTCCAAGTTATAACTTGACAAGACTTGGTTCCTGGCTGGTAGTTGGGTGCTGGTCTGCAACCTATGTGTTTATTCCAAGGCCAAGGCCAACGCCAATAAGCAATGGCTAGTTGGGCCATATTCTTCTCCTGATGGGTCATGGAGGCCAGAGCTAACCCCAAAATATAGCACATTTAAGGCTTCTGCTTGCATCACAGCTGCTAACTCCCACTGGCCATATCAAGTCACATGGTGAAACTGTCGGGGAACAGACTGCCTCATTTTTCTCCCACAGAGCACTGGATGAGTTTGGCCAGCCAACCTTTTTGGTTTTCCAGCCAACACTGAATCCACTATGCTACCAGAGCTCCTTCATCAGTCAAGTAGGGTATATTATATCCAGATTAGGGGGAAGAATAAAACGAATATTTGCTGAATGATAGTTCAACTACCATATGTAACATAATAATACTTTCAGGTATAATATAGCCTTATTGGTTGGTGAAATACTCATACTTGATTATTTCCACTGATTTTGTTTGGATGCCAATTATGTGCCAGAAACTGCACACAGAGTGGTTCAAATGAGCTACTCTCCCAAGCTTTGTTAAATTTTCCAGCCACCTGTTGATTTAAATGATTATTTCATTTGTGCAAATCTTTCCTTAAGCTAAATAATAGTAATAATAAAGAAAAGCAATTCACTGTCATCAGGTTGATACCAACTCAAAGTGAACCTGTCCCAGTGAGTTTCTGCGACTGTAATTCTTTACATGACTGCAAAGTTCTGTCTTTCTCCCAAAATTCTTTCTAAAACACACACACACACACACAACACACTGTCACCTAGTTGATTCTAACTCATACTTGTAGTTAGCAGTCCTGTGCTGACTCATCAGCAATACACTAGTAGTAAACAAAGCATAAGCTCAATGGCTAAGCAACCAACCATTACCGTACTTTGACTTATTTTATTATGAGACTTTAAGATGCCTTTGACCATCTCTGGACCTTGGTTTCCTAAACTGGTATATGAAAAATTGTTCTCATAAGTTTGGTGGATCTTAGATATTTCAATGAGCAGTGGACTTTATATTAGCATTCTTTGTGTTAAGCTACATAAAATAAACTTTTTAAATTGCTATTGCTTTTCGAGGCTGGATGGTGGAGTAGGTTAAGTGTTGAGCAGCTAACCACAGGGTCAGTGGTTCAAACCCACCATCTTCTTCACTGGAGAAAGAGGAGGCTCTTTGTGCCCATAAAGATATTCCTTTAGCAATTCCACGGAATTGTTCTACCTAGGCCTGTAAGTTCATTATAGGGATCAACTCAATGGCAATGGGCTTGGGATCAAATGCCTAGTTTAATCCAGTCATAAAATGACAGTGACCTACACATTGCATCACTGGGCTCTCTCTAGCTGTGTTAGGATGGGTAACCTGAAAAGAACAGTGCAACTGAGATTAAACCAGGCCATTAGACATTCTTTCATAGGATTATGAACATGAACATGAGAGAAAGGTTATTGAACTCGATTTAAAGAACGAAAGAAAAAGAAGGTATTTTCCAGATGTATTTGTCTATACAATCTGCTTGCCATCTCTCATCCATTTTAAATTTTTTTCTCTTTTTAAGAATGTGTTGTTATAGCTGAATATACACACAGCAAAACAGGAGCCATCTCAATTATTTCTATAGGTGAATTGATAACATTCTTCAGGTTGTCCACTTATTCCCATCCCCTTTTTCCTCATTTGTCCTACTTCAATCACACAAACTCACTGCCCCTAAGGTTCCCATTCTACTTTTAATTGGTTTTCATTTAGATAGATCCTAAAGCAGCATCATGCTCCAAGGATACCTCCTCCTTTACCATTGTGGTTGCTGTTAGGTGCCATCCGGTCAGTTCCAACTCATGATGGCCCCTTACAGCAGAACAAAATACACCACGTGGCCTGGTGCTAGCCTCACAGTGATTCCTTGTTGGAGGCCATTGCTGTAGCCACTGTGTCAGTCCACCTTGTGGAGGGTCTTCCTCTTTTTCCATGCCCCTCTACTTTCCCAAGCATGTTCTCCTTCTTAGGGGCTGGTCTCTCCTGATAACATATCCAAAGGACGCGCTGAGTTATATTGAATTATAAATTTAACGAGTGAAGGTTGAGTCCATCTTTTTTGGAGATATAAAGAGATTAAATAAGCCAGGGAAGGGAGGGATGGTTCAAGATGGATGTCAAGAGACAGAATCAGAAGAGACAGGATCTTCCTCCAGAGTTGAGAAGGATGCTCAGAATTCAGACTTCTAGCCTCCTAAGCTGTAGGAAAATAAATTTCTGTTTTGTTAAATACATCCACCTGTGGTATTTCTGTTACAGCAGCACTAGATCACTAAAACAATGGCCAAGCATGGGTTTTCTTATTCTATTTTGGAAGATGAGGAGCCTTAGAAAGGGGGTGTTGGGCTTTGATATAAGGCACATGACATATCTGTAATTATGGATTATATTTTTTGTGTCCAATAAATGGCTGAAAGGAACCTTGAGATAGGAACTTTTAGAAGATAATTGAATGTGTCAAC